TACAAGCACACACACACACACACACACACACACACACACACACACACACACACACACATGCTCTCTCATACATTCTCTCTTCTACACACCTACGTATACTCACAAACAAACCCACAGTCGCACGAATGATATTAAAACGAACAATTATCAACAATAATAGCGTTCAAACTAGACACCAAATTAGTATTCTGATAGTATTCCGATGGCATCCTGATAGTGCATTCTTTAAAGGCCATAGAAATATTTATTTTACAAGATGATTAGGACAGCAGGAGGGAGTTAGTGGAAGATGGTAAAAATAACTTTCTGTATCTTTCTTTGTTACACAGCAGAAACGTAGATCTTTTACTTCTTATTGATATTTAAAATTTGAGCGAGCAAAGGATGTTGCTTTCCCGAAAAGATATAATTGTGTGTGTGTGTTTGTGTGTGTGTGTGTGTGCGTGCGTGTGTGTGTGTGTGTGTGTGTGTGTGTGTGTGTGTGTGTGTGTGTGTGTGTAAGAAACATACGTTAATACCAAACCACTATGCCAGGATCATGACAATAAAGACTTATCTTATGTTATATTATCTTATCTTATTTTATTTTATCTTATATTATCCTGAGAGATTAAAAGAGGAAAAGAAACAGTACCTATTGCCCGAATCTCTGTGCTGATTGGTCAAAATAATAATTGCATTTCTAAACGGACATGTTATACAATGTATTGTAATGTCTTTTCAGCGCCAACTTACGTGCGTCTGATTTTAGCAAAGTCGCTGTGATAAAGAAGCTGCATTTTGAGGCTCCTGGTGTTCGGATCATAAAGGTCGAGATGAATCCTGTCTAACATACTTCTCAAAGGTCTCTGGTTTCTTGCCGCTTTCTGGGCAATAACCTGTCAAGAAACTGAGATCATCATCATCATCATCATCATCATCATCATCATCATCATCATCATCATCATCATCATCATCATCATCATCATCATCATCATCATCATCATCACAATAACGACCATCACCACTACACCACAACTGCAATAACTCGACATACCTACCACAACACCACCTAGATTACACCAGTATCTCTGCAACAACAGCAGCACACCACTGCCATCTCCACTTCTATATAACCAGACACAAGTCCAACCATCCTTTTAAGAAAGACATCGTCCATGTCCTATTCTAACCATGTACATGCCCCCCACCAGGGCGGTGCTACTGATTGAAGTTGCCTTACGGCCATTCCCAAAGAGGGGATATTAACGTGTCCTTATGCACAGTAGAATTGTAAATGGGCTGATTTAGCAATGTCATGCTCATACGATGCTGGAAACACATAGGGGGAACTGCTGCTTTTCTTTCTCCTCATCCTTAATATCTTCATTTTTCCTCTACATCTTTTTTAAAATTTATCACTCTCTTGTGAACTGCTATTTCCCGGGGTGCCTTGATAGTCGAAGCAGACTTTGTGCTGCTGAGGCTAGAGAAGTGAGCAGAGTAAGCCAGATTCCCCGTTTGGACTACTCTGTTGACATCCACCCCTTGGCGCTCATATGACCTTATGCAGTTGCGAGCGCCGTAAAACCTTACTAAAACTAAAACTAACCATGTACCCGCCAAATTTGGCCATTCTTTTTTTGGGTCTCAAATTATGTTATCCACAACCTTTAAAAGACACTAACAGGTGATACTATAACATTTAAAAAGAACACACTACACACAATTTTGAGCAATTCAGGTAGATTATACAAAGATATGAACAAAATGCGCCCCCCCCCCCCCGACACACACACTTTTCTGCCACTTTTCTGCCAGAGTACAAATGTCGTATGTCCACTTTTCATGAAATTCGAGATAAGACCACTCATGCACTCAAATTCCCATGTATTGCGTCTCCGATAAGTTTGAAGACTCTAAGTACAGTATTTGTTGAGATATCCAGAGCCAACTTGTCGTATGTCCAAAGCAGATTAAGAAAGAAGAAAGTACAACTGTCGGAACTCCATAAGCATTAATTTCGATACATTTTGTTTTGTCGTATCTCCATTTGAGCCAATGGGATGAGAGAGTGCCGCCATGTGATGTTGTGGGCAAAGCAAAATAGCGTCGTCTCAAAGAGGACTGTTCAACCATCAAGAGGCCCTAACAGTGCAGGTTCATTGAATTTGAAAGAGTATTTTGATGAGTGTGTCTGTATGTCCCAAATTCTTTAAATTCTATCTTTGTCATTGTTTTACAATCATCAGAGCACTTTTAATTGTTTTGTTTTTGCAGTGCCTGTATAGACATTGTTGGTGCCTCTTCTTTTTATTTGTGGTTCTGTGCCTGGGATTTGGGAGGGGGGGGGGGTCCCAAAGCTTGGTTCTTTCTATTTTTGTTTCCTTTTGTTCTGCTACAGATTGCTTGTATTTCTACCCTCTCTGTGAGTTGAAGAATCTCCCCTGGCCCAGGAGACCAAACACTACCGGTTGTGCATGTAAAATCAAAACATAGCTGGTGTTTACTTTTTATTGATACTGTACACCTCCAATTATTGTTGCCTTAATTCTTATGAATATGGGTGTTTGGTTGTCACAATTTGCGTAGTCGTGTATCTGAGTTTTTACTTTTGATAGTAACATCTTCGGCTCATTTTAACAAAAGGCACATTGCTTGATAATATTAGTAATGTGTGTGTGTGTGTGTGTGTGTGTGTGTGTGTGTGTGTGTGTGTGTGTGTACCTATTGAATGAGAGGCTAACACTGTAACCTCTAGACCACGAGAGCCCCCGCCTCCTATAGTAACACGTAATATCGGGAAGCAAGACCGACTATACTTCAATTAACTCGGACCAAAACTTAAAAGAGAAAAATAATAACATAGGCCACAGAACAGAGTTGCTCTTGTTTTACTCTTTTCACAGTTGTGTGAATTTTAATGCACATGTGAAGTAAAAACAAACTCTTAGAAAGAGAACGCATAAAAAAAAAAAAAGACTTATAACTCCAAAATGTACAAACAGTTAATACAAGTAGGTTTGGAACGTTCTTCTTCTTTCACTTTGACTTGCTGTATCTATTTCCATCTATCAAATATTTTAATGTTTTGATTTGATACAGTAGTGCGCCTATTTTGTCAAGAGTCAGTTTTCCATTGTAAGAACCAGAGCACTCTAAGAGAGGAAAAGGTGGAGGTGGTGAGGGAAAGACGAGCAGCCTAGCTACATATTCCTGTGTGATTCTTTGTTCATGCGGAACGTCATATCAAAATAGATTTGCTATTGAGAATGTAATGAATAGCTGCAGTCAGGTGAGACTTCAAGAAAAAAAAATTAAGGCATTTTACTTTTACTCTGAAAAAAAAAAAAAATATATAGGCCTAAAATTAGCGCAACGGTTGGGTTTATAATTCTGTCTGCCCCGCTCAATATCAGTCGTAAGACGCACTGTGCTATTATCAGCTACGAGGCTCGAAAGGCAAAAAAGTGACTTTTCGTTAAATTTTTATTTTTATTTTGGCCTATTAAAAGTTTGATGTCTTCTGCTTCGTTTAAGATAAAAATAAACAACTATAATGGACTATAAATATTTTATTTCGATTTATTTTGGAGGGGTATGTGGTTTGTTGTGAGCTTGGGTGACGAGATAAAGGAATTTGAACCTTGCCAGTATATAGCTGTGAGATTATTTTAAGAATCATTACCTCATGGCCACCTTTGCTTCAACCAAAGATTCTCCATTTGTGGAAAATCTTTGCTCCAACGTTCTTCATTCGCAATTATTTTTAGATTTTGACCCCTTTTCGGGCATGAATGGTCTGAAATGTAGACAACTCTGATTGGTAAAACTGAGCAGAAATGGTAACTTCTAGCTCACTTCAAGCTTGTTTACGTAAACAGCTCACTGTGTGGGTGTGCCCTGCTAGCTGCTATCGTCTGTTGATCATTCAGTTTTACACTTTAATTGACTTAAAAAATTCGTTTGTATTGTGTTTTAGAGCTTTTAAAAGATTAATTAACCTTCCTCTTGATCTCTCAGAGCGGACTCCTTACCAAGAGGCCACCGAAGCGGTCTATGTGCATGTGTGTGTTTGTGTGTTGGTGAGTTTGTATGTGTGTGTGCGGGTGCGTGGGTGTGTATGTGTGTGTGTGTGT